GAGGTCCACCATGAGCGACTCCTCGCGCCAAAGCTGGGCCTCGCACGCTGCGCAGCCAAACAACGATGAAAGGGAGGGGGGGGGTGAGAAGGAAGCGAAAGCGACAGAAAAAAGAGCGAAAGCGGAGGCACGCCAAGTGTGTAGGTCGGAGGTAAAGCGCGCACCTGTGGAGGCGACCTCTTTGTCGATGGCGCGCTCGATTAACGGGAACACGCACTCGTCGCTCTCGGGGAAGAGCGCAGCGATGGCGGCCGACCACTCTCTGCGAGTCGTTGTCGCGTCCATCGCGTCGTTGTGTCGTGCTATGCGTTTGGGGTCCGACTTAGCAGTTGGCAGTTGGTGTCTGTTGGTTTGGTGGACAAAAAGAGTGAGTGCGGCGCGGGAGAGCGAAAAGACGAAATGGAATGCGCACCAGCTGGTGAACCGTCAACGACGCGACCCGTCAGCTGCCTAGGCGGTGGGCAGTGGCGGCAGTGGCGGTGGCGAGAAGAAGGCTTGGGTTCGGTGACGACAAATGGTCTACTGGCCGGAGCGAGCGAACTTTTTGCGCGGGCAGTGCGGTTCCGCTGCGGAGGTGTTTCGGAGACGACTGAACTGCCTAGACACAGGCGGTGACGTTGGTCGTGTCTGTTTTCTGGTTGTGGTTACGTGTATCTGCGCCATCAGCTGATTAGTTAATTTGTTAAATTGCATTTTGTTTTCACGGCAACCGTTGTCAATCCCATCTGTTGCGTGTGCTTGGGCGTCAGCTCTCTACCAGGAGGATGCTTGTGGGCTTGGCAATGTGCTTTGCTGTTCAGAGGCCTCTGGGAGGTATTGTGCAAGGCCTGGTGGGTTTGGGTGTGAATGGCACGCGCAGCGTCGAGGAGCTTTATGGGAGTCCGGGTTGGGCAGAGTCATTGGTTTCTACCGGGTGCAGAAAGCAGCTGGCCGAAGTTGCTCTTTGTTTGGTTATGTGATCACTTCGCAGCAACGACGTACCGCGCTAGAGGAAGTTGCACGACAAGCGCGAGGGCTCCTCGGTTCCTGGCGTCCAATCTCTGGCCAGGCCGCACGCGAAGGCGCGACAAGAAGGACAACGCGGCCACCGAGAATCCCACGGCGTTGGTTGGCGCACCCTCTTTCGCTGTCCAGAACAGGCAAAGCCGGAGCGTCTGACAAGAAAGACCCATCAGCACAGACCGGGCAACGGCCGTTGGTTGGCGCACCCTCTGAGTGCTGGTGGCGAGTGGTGGCACTATCGGTCAAGGTGGGAAACACGGCGATCAAAGGACTTACCTTAGAGGGCAAGATATCTTCCTTCTCTTTGCCTCCACCTTGCTCGTCCAGGCGGTGCGTGTCGATTGGCTCTCCCTTTCTGCTCGAGGCCAGGTAGGTTGTCTGACAGCTGACGTACGTCCCGACCGCTCGCAGCTCCAGAGGGTTGCAGGTGCCATGGGCGTGCCTTCGTTGTCTTGTTGTGCGCAGTGTGCCGTGGGTGACGTACTGCGGTTGATTGCCCGCGCGTGGTGGTGGTGCGATGCGCATGGGGCGAGAGGTGAAGCACATTTAGAAGCGGCATGCACAGTGTGCCACAGACAGTATGAACAAATACAACATGCGTGGCACGAGGTGGAAAGAGGAGTGCGAGAGCATGGGCGAGGGAATCAGAGCGTGAGAGTAGAGGTGGGGTGGGGGTGGCGTCAATCGTCGCCCAGGATGACCTTGCGGAAGGTGAGCGACACCCTTCGCTGTCGTGGAATCTGTCGGCCGTCCACCTTGTCCTTCTTCCTGGCTGGAATGCAGTGTGTCCACTCATATCGCGCCGCGCCCTGCAGGTAGCATTAACGTATTGTGTAGTGGAGCGTGAGGCGGTCAGAAGCGTGGGTGGTGGGTGTAGGCCGGGAGTGTCGCATCGGGGCCCACATTCGTACCTTCATCAAGACGAGTGAGCGTCGGCCAAGAAGCACGGGATGCGTGGTTTTGGTTGCCTTGTGCTTGAACTCCATCACGCACGTCGAGCCGAG